ACACGTTACAGACTTTCTCGGTGTCCCTAGCTCCCCAAACTACCAATCCAGATGGCCCGGAAGGGCTATGACCTGCCCATTTTTGTTAAGTTATTCTTGTTTAAAGTTTTAAAAAAACTTATTAAAAATATTTGCTTGGTTTCTATTGGCTCAACCCTATATATAGTTTTGATTTATCGCACCCTAATGTCACATGACTGCATATAGAAATATCAAATTTGGCCATATTATGTAAAAATTTATTGGTCGAGATTAGGTTGGCTACGCTATATAGTAATATTCATATATTTTTTAGATAATAATTTTGCTATATATATAGTAAAATTTAAAGTTAGAAAGTCTAAACTACAGTATAATAAAAATATAAGTCTAAATTTTAGTAAAAGGGTTAAAAATACTTAATAATTTTATCTAATACGTATTTTGATATGTGTTAATCATATTTTTAAGATATAGCAACTATGGTATTGAATAAACTGTTAACAACCGGGTGGGTTTTAAAAAAAGTTTTTTATAAAATTTTAAAACCAGGACTAAACAGTACCCCTATGCTAACCCTAACCCTCGTCGCGTGACTAACGCTAATAAAAAATATTCCTTACATTTTTTTTTTTACCCTAAAATTTTTCTTAACTATAAAGCACTATGTGCATAGGGATACTATCTAGATTTATCCAAATTTTTATATATATAATTTTTTTTAAAAAAAGCCGATCGGCCGGGTCTGTTTAAAGTTTCATGTTATGGAACCAAGATATTAAATTTGTGAGAACTAATATAACAATTTATTTTTTTAAAATTATTATCGATCTTTTTCATTTTAATTACACATGTGAAACTGTAAAGCTAGTTATATAAATCATCATCGCTGTCTTCCCAATTGTTTCCAAGAGAATTTAAAACATCAGACATTTTTTCAGCTTTGTTGAAGACATCTTCAAAGAACTTGACCGCGTCCTCAGATTTTTTAAATGAATGTTCCATAGTGATTCGGTTTTGTTTTTGTTCTTCAACAGCCATTCTGAATCGAGTTCGTAAATCTTCGGTCGCCAATCGAATCTTTTTACGGCTTTGTCTAGTGATAC